GAAAAAATAATCGGCCGATTCATCGATTTTTAAAATAATCGTTAGTTGCAGCCCTACTTGATTTAATTCTTTTAAAAAATCTTCTCCAAGGAACGTTACGCTATCCGATTATTTATTGATAAATAAATAAAAAATAGTCGTCAGATTAATCGATTTGAAAAGCAATCGTTAGTTGCAGGCCTAATCCAGACATGAAACTTTGAAAAATGTTTTAATCGCAAATAGATTTCAGAGCAACTTGGTTGTTTTTCATATTTTATTTTTTGAGAATTTATTTTTATTTTTGTAATTATTTATTTTCTATTTTTGTTTTTAAAATTTCTCTTTTTCAAGTTGAGTTTTCCATATTTCTTAGATCACCTTCACTTCCAGCCTAATACAAACTCTCAGTCGACCAATAGAAATGCAGCTTTGCTCCTCCCCACTAAAGCAACCCCGCCGCCAGTAGGAAGAGAATCTGATCTGTAAAACGCCTTTACAAACAAATTAGATTTATCAAACTCTAAACAAATATAAAAGATTTATTTAGAAATGGAAGCCCAGCATAGTTAATCATCTGAGCTATTCTGACTGAAATGGAGCGGTTAAAGTCTAAAGTTTAAATCTGTTTTCTTCTTCAGGAGCCTCCATCGGAGAGGGTCAGTCTGCGGTCGCCAGCAACATCGCCAACACAACATACCGCCTGCAGTGGTGGGACTTCACCAAGTTCGACCTGCCAGAGATCAGCAACGGTGCGAGATCTCCTCACTCCACCCCGCCCTCTGACCTCACTGACATCCGATTCTTTTCTGAGAATGTACAGGATTCACTGCTAAACATGAGATAGAAGAAAAAATTGAGGGCATTTTCCCTTGAGTTAAACAGGTCTGACAATTTGCTAAAGAAATAAGATAATTTACGTAAAAAAAAAAATTCTATTTTCTTATTTCAAGTGCATAAGGTAAGATAGACTTTATTGATCTCACAGTGGAGAAATTCTCTTGTCAAATCGGCTCAAAAGTCAAAAGGAATAAAATATATAATAATAATATCCAATGATCTGATTTTAAAGGCTAAACTCCTCGGTCCATCCGTAGGTCGTTATTAAGCTGCGCTTATCAGAGATAAATTTGCTCAT